CCCCCCCCCCCTTCTGTCATTAACAAAAAGGTATTCAATCATCAAAATTAAGGTTGCAAAACTTGAGAAAATTGTTAATAATAAAGTACAAAGAGCAAGTCATATGTACTCACTCTTTAAACATTATAAAGCAATAAATTCCAAATTATCAAATAATTATAACATACACTTGAATGTAAGGTAAGATAATAAAGTTCTTTATTTTTGTTTTTCTTCTCCTCCTTATAGAGCACCTACAAACACAAGTTCAAGTAGCTTAGGGTACCAATTTTGTTTGGGTCTTTGAATGTTACTATAAATGGTATTGTTTGCCCAGAAAATGACAACTCAAAAGGGGAGGTGAATCAAGCTTTCAAAATTTTATGCAATTTTCGAAGGCAAAATGATAAACACTTATATACAATTGCAAACAAATATATTAAAGTGCAAAAATTAAAAGTTAAGGGAAAGGAAAGCTCAAATACAAGGATTTATTGTGATTCAATTATAATTTATGCCTAGTTTACTCCTCAAACTATCTACTTGAGAGTTTGCTTTAGATTCAAAAGCTTTTCTCCAACTTTTAGGTGTAGAAGCAATTGTTTGTAATAACTTTGTTAGCACTATATACCTTTAACAATTTATACCCTTGTTACAGTCTCTTACAAACCCAATCCTATATTTGAAAGATGGTTTTCTCTAAATCTAACAAGGTTACCCAATCACTCTTCAAATATGTTACAATTTCTATTGAACCATTTAATCCCATCATTACAAAACTCTCAACCCTTACTATACCTTAAGGATGGAATTCTAGATCTAACAAGTTTCCCCCTAACCCTTTCTCACTTGTTACAATGAAAGGAAATAAAATTAAACAAGTAGGTAGTTGGATTCACAAATAAAAAAGAGGAATACTTTTGATCTCTATTGGTTTTTCACATTGAAGCTTTCTTTCTTCTTGTTTTCATGTTGAGGTGTTCTTATAGTGCACTCAACCATGCTTCTAGATCTATTTTTATGATCTAAATATTGTGCAATCAATGATTTAAGACCATTGGAGCTCAATTGAAAAGAATCTCTTCCAATTTTAGTAAGTTATTCAAGATTTTGCTTTGAGAGGATGGACTTGCCTTTAGGGTTTAGACCCTCTATTGTGTACTTTGTGGCATAGATGACTTGTTGGTTCTACACCCTACAATTAGGGGTTAGAACCTAAAACATTATAAACAACTTTCAAGGATCAAACACATTAGGGATGTTGGAACCTCTTATGAAAAGACAGTTTCTATTTTTGTCTATTACTTTAAAAGGAAACATACTGAATAGGAATCACATGATTAAGTTGGCTTTCATATAAAAAGAAATACATTTAAAAAGCATATTTTAAGAAATATGGAAATCAAATGAAAATTATGAGAACCAAACTAAGTGTATATTCCCATTCACATTTGGTTTTAAGTCCATCAAAATAATAATAATAATAATAAAATAGTTACAAGTCCTTTTGGAACCCATACCTACCTAGAACCATTAGATGAACCTTTATTGATGAAGCATCTAGAAAAAAAGGTGGCCTTTCCTACAAGAATAGTGACATGTGATAATAATCCTCCTTTTTTGCTTGATTTTCCACCTTAATTTTGAGAGCTAGTAAATGGATAGCAACTATAGCTTTTACAAATTTGTTGGTATATACCTTTGACCCACTTGAGCCTTCATACCCAATATTGGTGTTCTAAGTGTTTATTTGGACATCCAAAATATTTTGGGCTTTACCACTCCACTTAGTAAGTCATAAAATCAAGTTGTTAAAATATTTTTTCTTCTTTTCTAAATAAGCCATAAAATCGAGTTGTTAAAATATTTTTTCTTCTTTTCTAAATCATTGCACTTTGAGATCAAAACATTTCTTTCGTAATTCTACTTGAGAATCTATATTATTTTTTGAAGAGATATTATCCTTTCTCATAGATTCAACTATCATTCGAAAATTATTTTCATTTAAAAAACTCATTTTCTAAACTTGAAAAATTAATAGATTCTTGCAAATCATCTTTTTCAACTAAGAGGGAGGAAATTGGTCTCTTCAAGGTAGCATTTTTTGCACTCAATTTCTCAGATTAAAGAAATATTTCATCAAATACCTCTTGCAAAGAATTATAAGAAAGAATATCATCATTAGAAGTAGAACTAGATGTACCTCTTGATTTATATCATCCTCTGTCTTGAGACAAATGTTGACAATTGGTTGGTGATTTGAATCTTTATTAGACTAAGACTCGTCACTTTGACTCCATGTTGCCACTAGTGCTTTTTTGCTTCTCTTTTGGTTATTGTTCTCCAATTATTCTTTACTAGTCCCCCTATAAGCTATTTGTAATTCCTCCCAAATTTGTTTTGCATTATCACATGAATCAATAAGATTAAATACATTAAGATCTAAAGAATAATACAGCACATTCAAGGTTTTAGAATTCAATTGCATCATTTACCCCTTAATTTTATCAATTATTAGGTTTCTTAAGGGTCATTTCACCAGTTTTCTTATCCTTCTTTACGAGAATATAAGGGCTATCACAAACCACCTCCCACATATATGGTGTAATTCGTGCCATAGCATCCACACCCTTATCTTAGTTTTTCAATAGGCATAATTCATTCCTATGAAGAGAGGAGGATGAACGGTAAATTGTCCTTTAGAAAATATGGAAGTTGGAGTTGCAATACATCTTTAATTCAAAAACAATTTAAAATTTTGAAATCAAAACCTTTGTGTCAAGGCCTTGACAATAATTGTCACGCCCCAAAACCAAGAGCGAAACAAACGCCGTGCACTTGGGAGCGGATCCCACAATGCACAAGGCTCAAACTTACTAAGTTCATAATTACTAATTCAGATAATTCAGATTTAAAAACTCAGGTAATAACTAGTTTCTCTTTCTTTCTTTTTTTTCTATTTATTTACTAGTCAAAATGTACAAGGATTTATAACTTCATGTATACAATCATGACTATAACTAAGGGAGTTCTGTACACAAAAATTTCTAAGTCAGCATGGGTGACTAGCGGCCTAACTACAAAAACCTAAGTCCAAATAATGCCTAACCGTCTAGCTCGTCACTCCCCTGGGCTTCCCATGCGTCGGGTCTCACTACCTGAAATGGTGGATAAGGAAAACTATGAGATAAAATATCTCAGTAAGTAAATATGGATGCCCGGGATCAAAATTTAAAGCATGCCAAATAAACAATTTAAACATAAATAGAGCGTCTCAATAACAAACCATTAATGCAAAATAAAATTAAATAGTTGTCTCCTTTATTAGTCATGACTAGTGTTATAAACCTCCCACTGGCAGGCACACGATTACTAGTGTATAATCCCACTAGTAGGATAACACGAGCGAATTGGTTCTATCAATAACATGTCGACATGTGCTAGCGTTTATAAACCTCCCACTAGCGGGCACACGGACCATATCGGAGACAAAACCAAGCAAATTTACAGAAAAACCATGATTCACAATCGTTCTCACTTTCAAGAATAAACCGAAAGAATCTCACGTGGGCATGTTCAATTCTAGAAAATAAGGAAAATAATAAAAGTTTCATTTCCATTTTTAATTATGCTCAAATGTAAATAAATCCATTTAAACCTCGCCACCATCTCAAAAACAAGTTAAAATATGCTTTAAAATTTAAGGGTATTACCATAATTTACTTACCTTAATTGCACAGGATAGAAGGCTTAACCAAAGTGCTAAGGTCACCAGAGGATCAAGGACCTAATCACAATATTTCTGAATTAATATTTATAAAGAATTTTATTTCTTTATTTATTTTTATTTTTATTTTTCTCTTTTCTCAAATTTAAGCATTAACTGGGATTGAGTATTTATATATATACACAAATAAATACATATATATATATATAGCTTTCCCAACTCACGGACACAATGGGGAACAAGGCTTTTATTTCCATTTTTCCCTTTTTTTTTTTCCGGACATCACCACAACAGCCACACCCACCAATTTCCTACATAAACCATCAACCAAAACCCATGCTCAAGTTGCCGAAATTCTCACTATTTCAACAGAATTTTCGGACAACATAAGGGCACCCATAACAACCAATTAAGCTCAACAAGGCAGCAATTAAATGGTTTAAAATTCAGCTTTAAAAGCTGTCTCATACCAGAAAATTATGGCAAGCAAAACCGAGCTTGGCAGGTTCCAAGGCTGGCGGGAATTTGAGAAGAGCTAACACAAAATTGGAAAGAAATAAGAACAATTAGAGTGAACCCAAGCCAAATCAAGTGAAAAGAGATGAATTCATGGCTGATTCATACCAAAAAAAGCCGAAAATTTCACACCCACACAAGCTGAAACCGGCGGCAGGGGAGGGAAGAAGACAGCAGATCTGGAAATTTTCTGCAAGGGAGAAGATTTCTAAGTGCTAAACTTGTTCTTGAGCAAGAAGAGAACAAAAATCATCAAGTTCTCTTACCAATTTTTTTCAGGTGGAAGCGTCGGTGAGGGCTGGTTTATGTCCGGCTGTAGGGAGAAAAAGAAACAGAGCAGACACGCGAAAATGGCTGAGGAAGAAAGAAAGAAAAAAAAGGAAAGTCAGCCGGCCTTATCCCAAAAATCTTTTGACCCCTTTAAAATTTGAAAATTTGACTCTTAGGTCCATTAATAACGTTTCCTCACCATTAAGTCCCTAACTCAACTTTAATGTTATTGAAATTTTTGGGGTATTACAATAATTGTTGTGCAAATGATAGTAACTTAGGAGAGGGTGAATGGGGTTTTTGAATGGGAGTACCATCTAACTAGTATGGATGTGTTCGGTTTGGCTGATTTTATCAGCATATAGTTTTCTTTTATAAAACAGCTAGTTAAAGTTTTTGGAAATATCAACTAATAGGCCAACTTCAAATTTTTAAGTAATATATATTAGTTGTTTTGTCAGCCATTAACTAACAAATACATTAATAAAATGTTTTTAATAGTCAAACTAAATAGAGCTTATATAAAAAATAACTACAACTATGAGATGGGTTTGAAAAGGTAATTGGACGGTTTCTCAAAGTAAAGTTGCAACTACTTTGTTAAAGACTTGGTTAAACTTTTAGGCAAAGTCAACAAATTTTTTAAATTAATGGTTTGCAAAGTTTAAGCTAAATTAAAGAGTTTAGGAAAAGTAAATTAGATTTCAGAATCCTTCACACATTTGGAGAGATGATTGTCTGCTTCGCTTTTAGTTGATGCAGCATGTGTAGAGAATCTATATTTTCCATCATTATCCCGTTCTTTCCAACTCAACGAGTAAGCTTTTTGCCTTTTTAGGCTTCATTATAAAACTCAAAATAATACTAATTAACTATCTATCTCTGTAAAAAAAAAGTTGCAAAATTTTGTGGTGTGCAGTTAATGCTTTAAGAACCAAACCGGTACCTGAATCATTTTGAGAACCAGTTTTGGTTCAATCAATTCAACCAGCTAGTTATATCGGCTGGTCTAACGGATAACATATCAAAATGACATTTTACACTTATTATTATTATTATTATTTTGAACTGAGAATGACATTTTATACTTATTTTTAAAAAAAATTTAAATCTAAATAAAAAAAAAATTGAAGTCAAGACTTATAGTAACCAAACTAAGCATCACACCACTGGGAAAACTATTTTCTTATTATTAATGTTCCAATTTTATTTAATTTATTCAATACAATAAAAAAATACAATTTATTGATTTTTAAAGTTTGACAAGTTGGAAATTAACATAAAAAAAAAAAAAAAACAAGTTAGAAGTTAAAACTCCTAACATCAAATTAAACTATGAATAATACTTTTAAATCAAATTAATATTTATATTATATATGATTTTACTAAACAATCAAATTTTTGAACAGATTGTATTTAATTTTAATAGATAAAAAAAAATGTTGTTACGCATAGAAAGTTATAGGTTTAGTGGTATGATTTAGGGTTGAGCATTTGGTTGAGACTGTTTGAATTGAACCGAATTTTTAGTTATTTAAAGAAATTTCAAATGAGGCTTCCATATCAAACCCAAACTAAATATATAATTAGGTTATAATTTTGGGTTTTCCAAAATTATTCGGATAATTAAGTTATTAATCAAAATAACTAAAATTTTTATTTATCAATATTAATATATCATTATTTTTTAGGATAAAGATATGTGCA